CGCATTCGACTCGGTTGATCGGTCTGTTCTTCTTGAGACGCTTGCCCACCAAGGAATGCCCCGGAAGTTTGTAAACATAATACGTTCTTTGTATTCTCGGACTTCCGAACGTGTGAGAGTGTACGGCGGGCTCTCTAAAAGCTTCCGCACACAAAACGATGTCCGTCAGGAATGGCCACTCTCTCCGTTCCTTTTAACTTCGTGATTGATGAAATACTGAGACGAACGCTGGAGGGTCTCCAGAACCCTGGTGTTCAAATAGCCTGTGAAGAAAATCTTGTCGATCTGGAATATGCAGACGACATCCTTCTCATGTTCGAAGAGGAGGAAAAGACGCAAGGATTCTTGGACGAACTGACCAAAGTCATCCCGTCCTTTGGTATGCACTTTGCATCCGCAAAATATAAGGTCTGTGGAGTGGACATGCAGTCAGTGAACACGCCACTTACAATCTGGAGAGAGCCACTCGAAGTTGTGGAGCGTTTACGTATCTTGGATGTTGTATTGCTTCTGATTGTATTGTGACGGATGAGACCAATGCACGGATCTGCAAGGCTTGGGCCACGTTTGCTAACTTGAGACACCTATGGCGTCAAAGTGGTGTATCCCTGAATCTGAAGGGACGTATGTATCAAGCTACAGTGCAGGCTGTTTTATGACTGTCAAACTTGGCTTGTTTGAGCAGCGGCAATGAGACGTCTTCAGATGTTCGACAATCGTTGTCTCAGAACCATAGCTTGTATCGGCGTATCCGTAATGAGACAATTAGAAATGGGATTTTCGGTTGTGAAACGGGAACTTCCATGGAACAATGTGTCCAGTGCCAGAAGCTGCGTTTGTTGGGACATGTGTTGCATATGCTAAACCATCGTTTGCCGAAGAGCGTGATGTTTCTGTGCCCAATTCCGAGCGACAAAAGTAGAGTTGTGGCCAATCCTTGAGCTTGCAGAGGGGTATGAAAGAGATTGTGAGGTTTTTGGGCGCTGTCGGTTCTATTCGACTTCCTGGACCGCGCAATCCCCACAGTGCCTGGTTGGAGAAGCCGCAAGACACGACTGTGGCATTGCAGTGGCATTCTCGTCGTCAGTTTCTATTCAGAATACTTGAATAAGTGCATGGAGGTGTAGGCTCATCGGAATGATTGTGGTGAGCTGGCTTTAGCCTGGTTGGAGAAGCCGCAAGACACGACTGTGGTATTGCAGTGGCATTCTCGTCGTCAGTTTCTATTCAGAATACTTGAATAAGCGCATGGAGGAGTAGGCTCATCGGAATGATCGTGGTAAGCTGGCTTTAAAACCCTTCATCGTCCACTTTTATTCTTTTCTTCACAATAAGACTGTTAAATGAATAAATCATGGTCGTACGGCAGCGGTCAATCAGTTCTACACATTGCAATCATGCTGTCGATGATGATGATGATGATGATGATATCTAGTGGCGATATTCTGCCCTTCAAAGATTTCTTACCCCGATAGTGTCTTATATTTGTGGACCATTGCTTTGCATGAGTCAGCAGCGAACAAATAGTGGCTGATTCCTAAGATCGAACCCAAGTTTCAGAGAGCCAATGCGCACCAAGATCCCGCTCCCACTAACCAGAAGTGCCGAATTAATGCCCAACGGTTAACGTTGATGTTACTGATGACGAGATGGTTCAGTGGTTAGAGCGCGAGTTTACTGACCGAATGGTCCATGGTTCGAACTCGACCCCTTCGTCTTGACTTCTCCTGTCAAGACTTGAGCATCCTGACAGTTTTCCAGCCCCCGTCCTTCTTTCGAGTGGCACAGCAGCTAGACACCGAAAGGGTGTTACAGTTGAAGGATTTTTAAAATTTTTTTTACCGCTGACGTCACTCAGTCCCATTGATGTCCTCAGTGATTTTATGTCAACCATGTGTTAATTTCTAGCGCACACACGCACTGGGGTCGCTGAAGATGTTCCAAGACATTAGCTGTTTGTCATAGATATGGTGAGTTCCATTAAGTAAGAGAAGCAAGCCAGAGAGTGACATTCTCATCGATCTGTGTTTGTTCATGTGCAGGTTAAGTGTATTTCGGACCGGTTCTACTCAGATCTGGACGACAAATAGGGAAGCCGAACATCCCCTTTTGAATAGCTCCAAGTTCTGTACCAAATGGGGCACAGTATGCTCTACGGTCAGTGCCGTGAAAGCACTGCTGAAAAGCATCGCATGAATAACACCACTGCTGGTTGGGTAACAAGGGTTGCGGTTGAGAGTGCTGTTTCCATGCCCAACTCAGAGTGGCGGAAGCAAAAAGCTGGCCAACCATTGACCTGGCGGTGAAGTATGAAAGAAATCACGAAACGTTTGGGTGCTGTCGGTGCTACTCGCCTTCTAGGATAGAGACTGCGTGATCCTCACTGTGCCTGGTTGGAGGTGCCACAATTTATGGCTGCCAACCGATGTCATTGGCGTTCTTGTTGTCATTTTCTATCCAGATCGCCTTAATGGGTGTCTGGAAGTATAGGCACCTCGGAATGATTGTGTTAAGCTAGTACTAAGTCCCTCCCCCGTTCACTTTTACTGTTTTCTTCACAATAAGGCTTCCAAATAAATCATGGTTGTACGGCAGTGAAGCATCGGTGTTGAACACTGATGTCATGCTGTCGATGATGATGAGGACGATGCCTAAGACTTCGTTTCAGAAAAGTGTGAAAGACAATCGGTAGATCTTGTAGACGTAATGTACTACTGATAAGATTGCTAAAAACTCTTCAGTAACAGTATGGGTAACGCATTGCGTCTACATGATGTTTTGCGATACGGCATACTAACTGAACTTGGTGCAGCACATTCAGTTGGAGATCACATGATAGACGAGAAATTCAGCTGGGTTCCAGGTGAGTCTCCTTTTCCGTGAAAACCAAACTGCTGTACAGGTAAATTGAAAATCGATAGATTAATTTCTGGGCAACCTTCCGCCTGTGACAAAAAGCTTCCTCAGGCCAACTGACACAAGTTTAGACTTCAAGCCAGATGGGCAACTGATTAACGCTTGCTCGCTGGTACAGACTATTGAAGTCGGCGAGCTGTGCTCAAGAGGAATGCTCGACCCAGGTGATGGCAGCGAAGCATCGGCGTTGAGCACCGATGGTGATGATGATGATGATGATGATGACGATGATGTTGGGGTGCACTGCTCTAAACGGTCCTCCGAATGTCCGTCAACCCGATGTTCTACCTAAGCCCAGAATAGTACAAACCTCTTGAACTTCGCTCACTCAAAACAGCTTTCTGCTTTGCAGCTGGATTTCATCTATGGCGTTCTTCGATGAAATATACCGCCCTATCTCGAATACTCTACCAACACATAGGGATCTTTGTACAGTACATTAATGAGAAGAATAAAAAAAGAAAGTCCGCGGGAGTTTAGCTGTGTCTGCCGTTGATCTGTGCTTTCCTTAGAAATCGAATTAGTAGACCATGTGACCTTTCGTGAACCTACTGAGCCAAGATTGTAGGTAACCTTTGGGTCAACAGCACCATATTTGTGAATTGGGGTCCTCAGTCGCGTAACCCCAGCTGAGTCGCGGTAAACATCATGAGGGACTAAGTTTTCACAACTGACTACTTCCGAAAGAGAATAGTAAGCAAAACCTCTGAACTTTTAAAGAGACTGAACCCCTGAAGTCCAACAACAAAGCAACGCACATTGGTTTCCGCTTTCCACTTCAGTCAACGCACCAAACAGGTTACCATGATGTTATCGAGGAAAAGATCGGGAACATACCAGAAATTGGAAGAAACATATTTTCATATACGGAACCACAATAGTTGACCGGCCGAAGATTGCACACCACAAGCAAGTGACCGAAAAAAAGCATATCGAGGGGTTAAAATGATTACACCGATAGTAGCATATACGGAACCACAATAGTTGACCGGCCAAAGATTGCACACCACAAGCAAGTGGCAACAGAATGACCGAAAAAAAGCATATGAAGGGGTTAAAATGATTACACCGATAGTAAAAATCGGGTAAACTCAAAGTGGGAGAAATGGGGAGTTTTGAAACGTTCATTATTTTGTTTTTTGTTTACATTTGGCGATTCGTTGATTGTAGTTTCATTGAAAATGGCTACATGTTTCCTTCCGAATAATATGTTCAATTTATAGAAATTCAGTGTCTAGATGACTTTGATTCTCCCTTTGGCAGGGTTGAATGGAACGCGAACCCGTTTACCACCAGGGTGTTTGTTGATTTGTCCTCAGGGTTATCTACAATCAACGAGGAATAAAATTTCATAGATGCTGGCCACCAGACAAATTTTTGTGAATCCTCCCTCACAGACGATAATTTCTGAACAGCATTTTTATTCACGATGAAAATGATGATGAACGGTTTTGGTTTTCCCGTGAAGAGACACCCATTTTCCCACCGCTCAAGGTCAAACAGGTGGAGTAGTTTTGAACATCAGTTTTAACTGTTTAGGGAGACCAGTTAAGAATACTGAATAACAAAAAAGGGCCTCTGAATTCGCTTGAACAAATTCCTATCTCCTGGTATGATTAACTTTATAGGTAGTGATGTTTCGATAAATTTGGACGTCGTAGTAAGGTGATGGCTTGGTTTCTCCAGCACTTTCAAGGTCGACGTATCGAATAGATTATCCGTCCCTATGCCTACTTCCCAACAGCATGGAATAAGGGCTACAGAGAAGCTAACTGTCCCGAGAGTCCAAGCTAGATGAACCACAAACAACATTTTCTTTCTTTGAAGCTACTTATACAATGTAAGTAGTGGGGTATTTTTAACTCGTAGATGTTTTAACGAACTTTTATCCAAAGAAGTCTGCATCTATTAAATAACAATTTAGAGATCCCAGAATGTGCAACAAGGTACAGTTAGTCCCTGCAATTGGCCTAATTGTTGTCAGTTTCCGCTGAGAATATCTGAGTTGCCATGTGGGTGGGTGTTTGCTTCAGTTTAACGCTAACCGTTCCAGGCCCCCAACGATTTTCGCTTATATGCACCGTGAAATTCTCAAAATTTGACTGTAAACTGCAGTGGAGCCAAAAGGGACGGGAAACACAGCAGTCATACCCGATGTACATTCCTGCACAAATTCTTGTGAATTGAGGTTGTTTTCCATCCGAGCAAGTACTTCTTCGGGAAGTTGTGGCCTGCACAACTTTTTAATTCGCTGTAAAGTGGAAAGAAAGAATCAGGAGTGATCGTTAGTGGAACAAATGAATTACAACAAACACTGAGAAACAAGACTTGTCGACTACAACAGCTTTTGTCTTTCAGGTAACATGGGGAAAGATTTCGGTCGAAAATATAGCTTTTCTGACAGTCAAGAAATCAGATGTGTACCCGCAAGAACATGATAAAGAAGTACTGTTGTGGCGGAAAATCTGTCTTACACGCATCACTCGTCACGCATAGAGACAATACTAAGAAGGAGAATAGCCAACGGCAAAATTAATACTGACAGAACCAGTCTTTAGTCTCAGCAAGCTTGAGATATTCACAATCCTGATTATTCGGACACATTTTTTCTTCCTGATGTTCATATGACCTTCCTGTTGCGATTACGCAACCTTAACTTCGACCCAAGCCTGCACTGAGCTGCCGCAATGTTTAGCTACTTGAAAAGGCGGTAGTAGTATATTTCCCTGCGGAAAACCAAGCTTTTCTGACCGTCAAGAAATCAGATGTGTACCCGCAAGAACATGATAAAGAAGCACTGTTGTTGCGGAAAATCTGTCTTACACGCATCACTCCTCACGCATAGAGACAATACTAAGAAGGAGAATAGCCAACGGCAAAATTAATACTGACAGAACCAGTCTTTAGTCTCAGCAAGCTTGGGATATTCACAATCCTGATTATTCGGACACATTTTCTCTTCCTGATGTTCATATGACCTTCCTGTTGCGATTACGCAACCTTAACTTCGAGCCAAGCCTGCACTGAGCTGCCGCAATGTTTAGCTACTTGAAAAGGCGGTAGTAGTATATTTCCCTGCGGAAAACCAAGCGCACCGGGTTCATGCATACCGATTGGACTGCTTTCACACTGTGCACCCTCACAGCTCATTTCGACCCCAAGTAGACTGAGATCGGCGTAAGCATGCAACTCAGTCTCCTTTGATTATTCCGCTATGGTTGACACACGCGTTAAACCGACTGAAATTGAAACTGAATGGCGTTCGTTCATTAATGAGGTTTGATTTGTAGATAGAAATATTCAAACACAGGGATGTTTTGATAGCGCAAATCACACCTGAATAAATGAGCCCGGTGTCCGAATGATTTGAATGACCATCACAATGGGGATCATGAAGACACTGCAACTAGCCAACATCCAACCGACCAGCACAGCCCACGCTGGATACTCGTAGACTTCTGTCTGTGTCGACCGACTGTAGGTTAACTCTTCATACACGGCCACGCTGATGATGAAGACTATCTGCAAAGAAAGATGTTCGGCAGATTTGATGTAGGACAAACAAGTGGTTTATTTGCTTCCATGACATGTTCCAATCCTAAAACTTCCCCATATTTGAATTAGAAGCCTGAAAACTCTTCAGGACACAAAGCCACTTAGATGGTGGTAGATGCTCACCTCCAGTATCATTTTATTTACAATTTTATTGAGGAAAGGTTTTCGGAGGCTAAGTAACTTAGTTTTACCAAGTTAAACTCAAATTCAAATGAAATCCAGCTGAATCTGTCTCCTTCTAACGGAAAGTGCTTCAAAAAGGTCACCTCATAGTTCATTTAGTACGATGGTTGAGATATGGCAGTGTATTTTGCTGACGGAGCATTGTACTCACAAGATTTCCGTAAGAAATTCGACACTACGAACACTTTCATCCTTCTTGGAACTTGTAGCGACCCAGTCACCCACATACTTGACTGCTCAACTCCCAGTCGCTCACTGGATCGCGAGGCTTGTTTTTTGCTCATACGCACAAACACGTCGCATTAAGCTGACTCATCGGACATCGATTGTCTGCACCGCCTAGTCAGCGTAGCAACACTCATGTGCCGACGCGCCCACGTGTACGCACTGGGACCTACATAAA